CTCTGGGTGCGCTGCCCACGCTGGTGGACCCTCGGCCAGGAGCAGCTCCTCTGGGCCCTGTGGCTTCCCCGCCGAGACCCTCATGGCCCCTGCCCAGCCGTCCCCCTGTAGCCAGTGCAGGTCCAACCCCAGCAGCCTCTGCTCGGCACTGCCTCTGGCCTCCCGTTCCCCCGTCCGTGTCTGCCACGTCTGTCCAACTGTGGTGACGGTCGCTGTGTGTGCATAGTCAGACAGTTGGACACGATGAGCTCCCTGTGTAGCCAGGCACGGAAGCCAGGCTGCCGCCCCATCCGCACCCCAACCCAGCACCCGGCACCCAGCACAATGAGGGGAGCAGGTGAGCCAAGGACAGACGTGGGACAAGCTCTGGGGGTGTGGCTGGGGCTGCTTCCTGCCTCCACGTCCGCCTCCGCCCCGCATCCCCAGCCCCACGCTGCCGTGTGCGGTCCCGTCCTCCACGGGGCGCCCTTCACACCTCCCTGCTGGCGGCAAGCGCGTGCCATGCTGGACGCGCTCTGGCACTTTCTTCAAGCCAGTGACCTCGTCTGCTCAGAGGTTCCAGGGACAGCGGCTGGGGACTCAGCCCCGAGTGTCTGCTGTCAGCCAGGCCCCTCCCCCACACAGAGACCGGACGACAGGGTGCTATTGCCAACTGTTTATTCAGGCCCGCACGGGGGACCAGTGACATGCAGTTTGCCTGGGCCCACGGCACACTGACCTGCGCCGCCGGCCCTGCTGGTGAGCAAAGGAGTTCCCAGAGGAGGCCCGACCGAAGGATACGTGTGCTGCTGACAGTCGCAGGGCACAGGCCCTGGGGGAAGAGGGTGGGGGAAGGGCAGGGCCCAGTGTCCAGTGCATCCCAAGCCAGCCCGGGGGGCGGCCCCCGCGCTGAAGGTCACAGCCGTGGGAGGCAGTGTGTGGTGTGAGCGTGGGGGGGGCAGGCCGTCCCCTCCCGGCGGTCCTGCTGGACCCCCGTCTAAGGCTTGACTGTCCCGAGTGTGTCTGCCCGCCACACGGTCGGGGCCCTCGGGAAAAGGCTGCAGGCCTCTGTGCCGTCTTCAGTGGGTCCCAGCAGCCCCAGGACACTCCTGTCGGCCAGTGCCCCTCTCAGCGCCTTTGGCTGCCAAACCAGGAGATAAAGGGGTAGGGACGCGGACGCGGGGCCTGGTGGATGCGCACTGTGCGGGGAGAGCGCCAGGCTTTGATGGTGGCGTCGTCGCTGGCCGTCAGCAGGAGCTCCTGCTCTCGGGGGCTGAACACCACCGAGTTGACCACATCCTGGTGCCGCAGCTTAGCCAAGCAGATGTTGTAATGCCGGTCCCAGATGTAGCCATGCCGGTCCTCTGCCCCGCTGCGGGGGAGCCTTGGTGAGACCCTGCCACCGCTCCCAGCCCCAGCCCAGCCCAGCCCCACGCGCCTACCTGGCCACGAAGTCCCTGCTGACGTCCAGGAAGATGAAGAAGCACTCATCGTTGGGCGTGTAGGCGCGGTGCGCCCGCAGAGCCCGCTTTACCTCCCGCATGGTCTTGAGGTCAAACACCAGCAGGTCAATCTCCTCTGCGATGGGCGGTGGCTGCATGGGGTCGGCCACCACGGAGCCGCTGGGCCAGGCCCGGCTGTTGACGTACAGGTACCTGGGCGAGGGGCACCCTGCTTGGTATTAGTGGCCTGCAGAGGCCCCCACCCAGGACACTCTCGGGGGCCCACCTGTTGTCTGGGGACAAGCCCATGCCGATGATGTGTCCGTGCACGTCGATGACGTGGTCCAGGGCATCAAAGAAGGCATCCGAGCCCCGGCCCTCGCCCAGCACAGGCCCAGCTGTGGTCATCTGGTGCGGCAGGATGTGCTTGATGCCTGCGGGAGGCCCGGGGAGAGCAGCCTCTGAACGAGGGGCCCCCATGGAACGTGCACTCCAGGCAGCTGGACCAGGGCGGGGCTCCCAGGACAAGCGGAGGAGGCCGACTGTGCCCACAGACTCCAGCCCTGCCCTTGGCCAGGGCACACCAGCCCAGCGGCGGGGAATCAGTCAGCCCCCAGGCTCCAGGGAGGCAGGAGGGCCCGCTCCCCTACCGATCTGGTGTGGTGAGTAGGTGAGGCAGCCCGTGGTGAAGATAAGCAGCTTGTGGGCGTCGGCCATGCTGTGCTCTGGGGGCTTGGTGCGGCCCTGGGCCAGCAGCTCGGCCACTTTGGTCTCCAGCGCGTGCTCCGACAGCTGGGGCTGCGCCCGCCCATCCAGGAGCCCATCCAAGAAGCGCCGCAAACCCTCCTTGGTGCGGGCCGGAGCCGGCCCTGGCCCCGGGCCTCCCGCCTCGTCCTCACTGTCGCTGCCCAGGTCAAAGACGCGGCAGGGGAGCGCGCCGGCGTCCAGCAGGAGGTCAGGGCTGTCAAAACGGCTGCAGTCGGCCACCATCACTGTGCGGATGGTGCTGGCGTTGAGGTTCTGAATCTTGAAGAGGCGTTTCACGACGTTGACGTTCTCTGACTCCACGTCCTGGGGGTGGGAGACAGCAGGTGGGCACCAGACCAGGCAGAGGGCCGCCGCGGGGGGCCGCCGCAGGGAGCCGCCGGCCCGCACCTGGAAGGCGTTGTTGAGCCAGAGCACTGAGCAGGAGGTAATGTCCCCGATGCGGTGCAGGTTCCCCGAGATCAGGCTGGTCTCCGTGAGCCAGCAGCCAAACACGTCGTAGGGCTTGTTACGCACTCGCGACAGTAGAGCGAAGTTGTCTGGGGGCGGGGGGGGGGGGGGCGGGGCGGTGGGGGGGGGGGGGGGGGGGGGGGGGAGGGCACAGGGCTTTGTAGGAGGAGGGGTGGGGGTGGCCCTGACCGCCCGCCCTCACCTAGGCTGATGACTGCGATCTCACCCGACGAGGAGTTGTGGGGCCCCAGGAACACCCCGGACGCCAGCAGCAGCGAGTCGTCCTGGTTGAACTGGGAGAACTGGGTGTAGCTCCAGTTATAGGGCCGCATGTCCGCGCTGTGCAGCAGCGAGATGGTCAGGTCGTTGTTCCAGATCTGCACGGGGGCAGAGTCATCCGGGGGCCTCTTGAGCCCGCCCTACGTGGGACCCCAGGGCCCAGGCTGCAAGCCCCTCTCCCAGCTGAGCTCAGGCCCAGGAACCACCAGCAGGATGGGGCTCCTTGCCCCTGGCTGCCCGCTGACCCGAGGGGCGTGGGTCCATGTGGCTGGCTCCTGGCCCTGGAGCATAAGTAGCTTCCCTCCATGGGCAGTGTGGGCCGTCCCCGCGGACCGCAGCTGCCGGGGGCCGGGCTCACCTTGACGGTGCAGTCCTTGGAGCAGGAGGCGAACTGGTAGCCCGAGTGGGAGAAGCTGAGGTGCAGAACCTGGTCCGCGTGCTCCCTGAGCGTCTGGACCTCCACACAGGGCACCGTGTCATAGAGCCGCCGAAACTCTTCGTACCAGGACGTGGCCGCTGGGGGTGGGGGGTGGTCACCGCTGGGGCCCTGAGCCTCCTTTCCCACAGAGGCCAGCACCCTAACAGCGTAGGGGACATCACCTCAGCTGCAGGGGTGCCCCTGGCACCCCGAAGCCCCTGCCTCCCAGCCAGGCCTGTACTGAGGCGTGGCCCAGCTGCTCCCCATCCATGTGAGGGCCACGCGGTGCCTGGTGACCGCTATGGAGATCTGGGCAGTGGGGGACCAGTGCTGTGGCTTCAGCTGGCAGCATGTGAATGGCCCTGCCTCCCGCCCTCCCAGCCAGCCTGGTGGCCTGTGGGGCCACGTGCAGGCCCTGACCTGGGTGCCGGGGCACGTCTCGGGCCACCTGGTAGTAGCGGTAGAACTGCTCCCTCCACAGGAACTCGTCCCGGGACACGGCCTGCCACTGGCGGCACACCTGACCGGCGGCCAGTACGTCCGCTGGGCCCAAGCTCAGGAAGATCTGGTAGATGAGGCTGTCAGGGAGCAGGGGTGTGCCCCCCTCGTCCATTGTGACATTCTGCCCAGGCAGCCCTGAAACCCACACGTGGTCCCTTAGTTGCTGGTTGCACTGGCCGAGGTTACTGGCCCCAAGGGAGGGGCCCCGTGGCTGAGCTGAGGCCAGTGCCCTGCTGGGACTTCCATTGGACTGAGCCTGTGTAGAGGGCCAGCTGGCCCTGCCCACCTGCCTAAGGGTCCAGCGGCTCCTCCAAGCGCCCTGGACAGCCACACTCCTGGACCCCGTACTCCTGACGGGCGTCCCCGCACGTCCCAGTGGTTCCCTGGAACAGGCAGCTCCGGGCGGGCAGCCGACCCCGCTCAGCACCTCCCGTCCGGGGCCAGCCTGAGCTGGACCCCACATCTGCTCTGAGCCCAGAAGGGGCTGGTGGCGGGGTGGGGCCCTCCGACCTCCTCCCGCGCGGGGGCCCCGAGACACATGTGGGTGCCTGGGCTGGTGACTGCTCTGAGCCCGAGAAACGAAGACCCGGTGGCCCCCCACGCACTCCTGCCACTCTGACCGGGCAGCCCCAAGGCTTCAGAGCTCTCAGCGTGGGACCGAGGTCCTTCCGAGCAGAGGCCTGGGGCCCGCGGGCCGCCCCAGACGCCGCCAGGGGCACCAGCCGGCCCTTGGCCTCTGCCCTGTGGCCTGGGGGAGCCCTGCCCGGCGGTCAGCGGGCCAGGGCGGCCGCTGTCGCTGCAGGGCGAGGTGGGGGCGGGGCGGGGGTGGCCCAACGTCCCCTCCCCCCTCCCCTCTGAGGGGCTGCGGGGGGCGGGGCCTCGGCTCGGCCCCAGGCCCGGCGGCCTCGGCCACTCATTCATCGGCAGAGGGCGCGGCCGAGGCCGAGGGGCCGGAGGCTGGGGCTGGGCGTGGGGGGCGGGGAGCCGGGGACCGGACGCGGCCGGTTTGCGACCCTCCTCGGGGCCGGGAAACCGGGGGTCCGGGGCCGGACGATGACTTTCCCCGGAGCCGGGCGCACTCACCGCGGCCGCCTCCGCCCGGCTGTGCTGCCCCTGCCCCGGCGCCCGGCCTCGGCCGGCCGACCCGCTTCCGCCCCGCCGCTCCTGCCGCCGCGTCTCTATGATGAAGCCCGCCAGGCAGACGCCTCGAGCCCTGAGGCATCGATGGCCGCAGAGCGCCGAGCACCCGGCAGCCCGCCTCGGCTGTTGCTGCGCCTGCGCGCACTCGAGCTCGCGCCCAGCAGCGCCCCTGGCGGCCGGGAGGGGCGGCGCCCTTACACCGGGGCCCGTGGGCTGGGCTGAGGGCAAGACTCACTCACTTTGAGGGTTCGAGACCCCGCCCCGCCTCTCCCAGCTGCTCGGGCCCTTGGGTTAGAGGGTCGTGGACAAGGAACCAGAGGTCAACTCGGACTTTGTAAACAGGATATGGCGCCAGGGCCCTGCTGGGAAGTGCAGAGTCGAGGAGGCTGGGGGTGGACTTTAGGGGGGGCGGGCAGGGTGCTTGGTAAGGCAGGAGGACCAACGGGGACTTACTGGGTTGGCGGTGGACGTCGCCGACTTCCTGTGCCAGGCTTCTGGGCGGAACTGGACAGTGGACTCTGACCCAGGACTCGGCCGTCCTGACCTAGGCTTCCCCCAGTCCCTGCGCCGTTACTGCCACCGCCATGCTGACCCCCAGGACGGCACTCCTCTTGACTTTGCTCCTGGCTGGGGACTCCCTGAGCCAGAGGGCTCGGAGACCTCCTCAGCCCCCGTCCCCCATCAGCACCATACCGCCAAAGGCCAACTTTGATGCTCAGCAGGTAGAGGGGGACAGGGGGGTGGGCAGGATCTCACCTAGCTTTCCAGGGGCCAGGGCCAGGCAGCCCCTCATCCCCGTGTGCCCTCACATGGCCTGCCCCTAGTTTGCAGGGACGTGGCTCCTTGTGGCTGTGGCCTCCACGTGCGGCTTCCTGCAGGAGCAAGGCCACCGGGTTGAGGCCACCCTACTGCGTGTGGCTCCCCAGCGTGCAGCCATGGCTGTCAGCACCTTCCAAAAGCTGTGAGTCCCCCGCAAGGACCCCTGCCTCCACCCTTGCTGTGGCCTGGACCAGAGTCCTGTGGGGCCCTGCCCGGGTTGGGGTCCCTAAGCCTGCTGTGCTCCCCCCGCCCCCCAGGGATGGGATCTGCTGGCAGGTGCGGCAGCTCTACCGAGACGTGGGAGTCCCGGGCCGCTTCCTGCTTCCAGGTGAGACCAGGGCATCAGGGATGGGGTGCGGGGCTGGGGGGAGGAGCTGACTCGGCTGACTCTGGCCGGCTCCAGGTGCCCGTGCAGTGGACGTGGTCGTCGGAGAGACGGACTATGAGGGCTACGCCGTCCTGTACCTGGAGCGGAAGCGGAGGCTGTCAGTGAAGCTGTACAGTGCGTCCTTGTGGGCCCACGCTCCGCACACACTCAGGGCCATCTGTGCGGGCAGAGGCCGGAAGGACACACACAGACCCTCCTTGTCCTCCCCTCCCTGCATTCTGACCTCCTCAGCTGAGCAGGGGTCAGGGAGGGGCCCTAGTGGATAGGCCCAGGTGTGGGGACAGAGGGGACGGGGAGGGGATGGGTGCGTCCCAAGCACACAATCTCTGTGCCCGGCATGCCCCTCACCGCGTGCCCAGGAGCCCTGTATGTCCCACAGCCCGCTCACTCCCTCCAAGTGACTCGGCGCTGAGTGCGTTTGAGCAGCACGTCCAGAGGGCCAACCTGACCGAGGACCACGTCTTGTTCTTCCCCAAGTATGGTAAGCCTCCTGCAGCGGCCGGCCTTGCCCTCCCGCCGTGTGCCCTGCCCCAGCCACCACTGACCCCTGCTTGGGCCTTCAGGTTTCTGCGAGGCCGCAGACCAGTTCCACGTCCTAGATGGTGAGTGGGCAGTCCCGGCCGGGTGGTGCAGTGACAGGGGCACCCCTCGCTCCTTCATTGGCTGAGTCTCGTCCCTGTGCACCAGAAACAAGAAGGTGAGTTCGGGCAGCGGCCCGGACCTTAGAAGGAGCGAAGACCCTGATGGTGGCGGCACCTGCTACCCCCTCACTGAGCCCCGGCGCCCCCCAGGGTCAGGGCCACCCCGTGGGGGGACACTCTCCCCTGTGTGCCCTGAAGCTGCCCATCACCCACAGAGCTCAGGAACGTGACCTTCATTAAACACTGTCTGTCTTGGCCCCTGATTTCTTCCTTTCCCTGTTGGACCATCTTCTCACGGGCACGTGGGGCTGCTCCCCTGGGTGGGCTGGGGAGGAGCACGTGGCTGGCTCCCCTGGTCAAAAACCCTCCCCAGGGAGGCAGGGTGGTCCCTGCTATCCCAGTGCCCCGGTCTCTGCCTCTTAATTGGGCCGCTGCTCTGTGGTCCCAGCTGCCCTTCCCTGCTCCCAGGCTGGGGGCACACATGCACTGCTAGCCTTGCTGGGCTGCCTGGGGTAGGCCCAGGACCAGAGCCTGTCCCCCTCCCAGATGGTGGGGGACCTTTTCTAGAGGGATCAGGAGCCCTGCCCCCAGGTTCTCCTGGTCTCCCGCTGACCCTGAGCTCCTTCCTGGGAGGCATGGGTCCAGAGTCCCAGTGGCCCTCTGGCCTGTGGCAGGACAGGCCACTGGGGAGGGACAGGCAGATCCCCTCCCCTTTCCTGGATGTGGTACCTGGATCTGCGGGGAGCTGGCAACAGTCTTAGAAACAGGAGGCTGGACTGTCCCTGTGGCTACCCCAAGGGCTGGGACGGGCCTGGGAGCAGGACTGACCACCTGGGCCGGGTCCAGTCCGGGTGTCAGGCAGCCAGGTGCCCCTTGGGGCAGATCGCGAGATCACACAGGCAGGGAGCATAAGGAGGGTGTGGGCGTGTCTGGAGGAAGCAGGCCTAATTCAGGAGCTAGGTTTGGGGTGAGCACAGGAGCTTGGGGCACAAGGTGGGAGTGTCCGCACCCAGGATCTGACCAAGGTTACCCGCTCTGAGGAACCAGGAGGCAAGGTGTGCTTTGCTCTGTAGAGACCCTTCTGGAATTTGGGAACTCCAAGACCCATGGGGGATGGAGGCAGGGAGAGGGACGGGCTGAAAATGGGGTAACAATGTCCACCCCACCCCGGGCAGTGGCTGCCTGGAGAGGCCCCTCCAAGTGATGCCACACTGTTGCGGGGATGTGGAGTGCTGGGGCAGGTCTGCCTCTGGGGGCTCCCCACTACCCCCCAGGGTAGACTGCACGTGCTTTCCACACCCCAGGTCCCGGCCGACCTGCCAGGGGTCGCTGACACGGGGAGATCCCTAGGAGAGAAGAGTCAGGACCGGGGAGAACTGACCCTAGAGGAAACAGAAGCTACTCCAAGAGTGCAAAGGGCACTTAAACAATTTCAAGTCACCCACATATGCCCTCCCCCCAGGGTCAAGGTCTGCCCAGGGGGGTCCTGCCGGTGGCTGCCCCGAGACTAGAGGAGGGGGTTGCGGCCCTTACCCGGTGCCAGGAGACCCTCCTAGTGAGAACACGCCCCAGATCCTCCCAGCACCCCCCACCCCTCATCTCGTGAAACCATCTTCTGCATTGGCTGGAGGGCACTAGCCAGTTTCAACCGCTCTGCTGGCTTGGGAGCAGGTACCCTGGCCCACAGACGCCCACCCAGTGCCCTGAGGGGCCTGCAGGCGCCCTGCTCCGGGAAGGTGTGCCTGGGCTCTGAGGACGCCTCCTCCGTGGGGGGCAGCTTTCTCCCTTCCCTCCCCTTCTCGGCCTCCCCAAGCCTTGCTGGGCAAGATCCAGGCCCACAGGGCTGTGAGTCAGCGCTTACCCAGGTGCTTCTGGACAGACATGTCCGTCCTGGAGACGTGTGCTTGCCTCTCCCTCAGTCTCCCCAATGTCCCCTTGGGAACCAGGACGGGGGTGGGGGGTTAGCCTCCCTTCAGAAGAACGTGGGGAGGGTCTGAGGGCACGGGGCAGCCCCAGGCTGGGCCCAGACTGGAGCTGGAAGGTCCGTCCAGGGAAATGGGCATTAGCTTGGCCAAAGCTGGGCCTGGAACTGGCCCCAAGCCACGCTGTCTTGGGGCCCCGGGCATCGATCTGATGAGTGTTTCTCAACGCTGGGCACACAGGTGGGACGGCTCCCTGTTCCTGGAAGCTCAAGGTCCAGAGCTCACCACTGACTGTGGGTGAGGCTGAGAGGGCGCTGGGGAGCGGGACCCCCCACTGGCCCCCATTTCCTCCCCGGGCTGCGAGGCAGTAGGGGTGAGCAGCAGGCCATCCCAGGGGAACCGCAGGGACCACTCTCTGTCCCAGCTCTGCGTTCCCATGTGGCCCACTGGGACCAGGAGGACGGGTTGGTATCCGCGGGGAGACCCAGCAGCAGCCTTGTACGGGTTCCCTGTCTCCAGTGGGTGGCCGTGGACCATACCCGACCCCACAGACTGCACAGGGCCCACCCTCTGTCCCGTGCAATAGCCTTCCAGAAAGGCAGATCTATAGGGCTGAGGAGAAGAGAGGAAGGCAGCGGGCCATGGCACCCAGGGCTTTGAGGGAAACCATAGCCTCCCCGTGGGCCCTACTTCCCAGAGAGCCACTGATCACCCCGGCTGGAGTCACCACGCACCTGTAGCCGGTGGGGCCGTGGCTCAGAGCTGGCAGTGTCCCAGAGAGGCCCCTGCATGCCTGGCCCCACAGCCCCCAAACAGAACATGAGGGCCTCTGCTCTGGGGTGTGGGAGGGTTCTGACATACCCCCCACTCGGGCATTTTGGGGAAGGCTGCTTCGGGAAGGGCTGCAGGTCCAAACGGCGGCACCAGAGACCCTCCCAAGTGACCACAGGGCTGAGGCCCCACAGCAGCCCAGTGTCCCTCTGGCTCCCCAGGCCTGTCCTTCTGGGTCTTGGGGGGGGGGGGGTGTGCGGGTTACTGTCGCCATGCATTTTATTTCCACAAAAATGTTCAATGAACTCTAATTGTCACAAACTAGGTGAAATAATTGTAGTTCTAAGTGAACTGTTTTTATGTAAAAATGTTATGATTTGTGTTTTGCCTTTTAATTGTAATAGGTGATTTTTAACACCTCAGAAGGAAGAAAAGTACTTTCTTATTTTCTGGAGAGAGGGAGGGTGGGCGCTTGAGATGGAGCAGGGGTGGGAGGATGGAGGGGCAGAGACAGCATCTTAAGGAGGCTCCACACGGAGCAGGGATCCCAACGCGGGCTCACTCCCACAGCCCAGAGATCATGACCTCGGCCCAAATCGAGCGAATGAGCCGAGGCGCCCCAAGAAAAATACCTCCTAAAAAGATATACAAACTTGCCTTTAATTGGCAGAGGTGGTTGGGGGCCTCCAGATAAGGCGGGTCCTGCCGCTGGAGCACTGTCCTGGGAGCCCGCCGGCCTCGGCAGGACGCGAGGGTGCTGCGTCCCAGGCCCCCCGCGCCCAGATCCCACAGGCAGGCGCGTTGTGGGCTGTCCCCGAACTGCCGGCCCTTCTCGCTGGGTGCCCGCGCTCTGCGCACACAGCAGCCCCAGTGGACAGGTGGGCCAGGACCCCTGCCTGTGGGGGCCGGGGCTGGACAGAGCCCGCCGCCCAGGGAACCCACCACCTCCCTCCGGCTCACGGCAGGAGCGTCGCACGGGCTCGTTCCACAGGGCCTGCTCCTGGCCAGCACTGCGCCCGCCCCTCAGTCCCCCCGCCCCCAGCTGAGGGCCTCAGCGGCCGCGGCGGACCCTCGGGGATGCCCTGAACCCAGCGCCCCTCCCCTCCCCGGTGCAGGTCGGTCCCCGTCCACCCCCTCTGCCTCGGCCCCGGGCGCTCGGGAGGGCGGGGCCAGCCCGCCCAGAGCACCGCGCCCGAGCTTGGGGCGAGCGAACCCGGGAGCCGCCGTGCGGGGGGCGGCGGTGCTCCGGCTGCTGCTGTGCGGAAGGGGCGGCCCCGGGCGCGGCGAGCGCGCGGGAGGGTCCCGCGGAGGCCGGAGCGAGGGGACGCCAGGCAGCCGGTGGGGAAAGGGCTGCGGGGAGGCCAGGCCCGGCTCCCGGGAGGATGGGCTGGTGGAGGCGTCCCGGCCTTCGCCGCAGCCACCCCGAGTGGCGGTACCCGCGGACCCCGCCGCCCGTAGCCTTTGCACACGGCGCCGCGCGCCGCCAGCGTCACGTGCCCGCCCTCGACCAATGGCATTGACTGTGGGAGGAGCGCGGTTCGGCAAGTCCGCCGCCAGCCTGCAACCCGCCCGGCGGACGGTAGGGGGCGCCAGAGTCACCCAGCGCCGCGGGAGGCCCCCGGAACCGTGCTCCCCGCTAGCCCCGGAGGCGTGGGCGGGGTGGGGGGCCCTCCCGGGAGCGAGGCCCGGGGTTGCTCTCCGGCGCGGGGGACCCGCCTGCCCTCCGCTGCGGCCGGGAGGGCGGGGGGGGGGGTCTCGCCCCCAGCGCCCCAGAGCGCAGGCGCAGAGGGGGCCGGCCTGCACGTGTTGAGCGTGTCGCCTGCCGCAGTTCCGGGCCACCCGCGGGGCGGGAAGTGGGACGCGGCGTTCAAAGCGTCCGGGGTCGGAGCCGCCACCCCAGCTTCTGCTGGGCCGAGAGGCCTCCTGTGGGAGGTTCCGGGGAAATCGGTTCGCATTTCTCCTCTTCTGGGCCGGAGTCCCCCGGAGCAGCAGAGCCGTTCTGAGCCTCGAGCTCGAGGAATGGGGGGCTGCCCTGCGGGCTCGGGTCTCGGGGAGATGCTGGAGGCCCTGGCCCTCCCGACCCCTGCGCGTCCCCTGTCCTGGGGCCTGCAGCTGACCCTGAGAGGCCTTGATGGTCTCCCTGGCAATGGGAAACGCTCCCGGAGGAGGAAGGACCAGGCGGTCCATACCGTTCCACCCAGTGTGAGGTTCTGGGACAGAGCCAGGCCCTGAAGCTCCTTGTCCTTGGGGGACCAGTGCTTTCTCCATGTCCTGGTTGGGTCCCCTCCTCAGGACAGACTGCTGGAAGCCAAGGGTGGGGGAGGGAAGGAGGTGGCCCAAAATATGGAGACCTGGGGGGGAGGGGAGGGAGACAAGGGGCAGCGCAGTGTGTGTGTGTTGGGGGGGGGCAAGATGGCCCAGGTTGGGGCAGAAGGTGGCCTAGAATAGGGGGGAAACTGGGTGGGGGCGGGAGGTGGCCCAAGACATGAGGACCCAGGTGGGGAAGGGGGTAGCCTAGGACAGGGGTAACCTGTTTGGTAGGAGACGGCCCAAGACAGGGAGACCTGGGAGGGGGCAAAAGTGGCCCAGGACAGGGGGGACCTGGGTGGGGGCAGGAGGTGGCCTGGGACGGGGGGCTCATAGGTCAGGTACACATTCTTCCAGTCCCTAGAGCCCAGCACCTACACATTTGACTACCTCCGTGCCTGTTTTCTTCAGGCTCTTTCTCTGGGGGTGGCCGAGCGGGCTACATGCCCAGAGCCCAGGCCCTCCTGCCCCCAGGCCAAGTGTGTGGGAGCCCCACCCCCACAAGACTGGGCTGCATGCCCCCTGCCCTCACTCTGGCACAGGGGCCCCTGCAGTCACCCCTCAGTCATCCTGATCTGGGGGCTCTGGCTGCCTGCCCACCACCCCGTTGTGTGGCGTCACTCTGACCGGCCGCGACCCCTGCCCCTTGGGACGGTAGGGCCCTTTGGTCTGTTGTCCCACGCTTGGGTTCGGGGCGTGGGGAGCAGTGCGGGGGTGGCAGGCCTGGGCTCAGCACTCAGTGTTCCACAAGAACTCCGTGCCCGTGATCTTCGGGACTAAGAAAAGGTCAAGCTCCCTGTGTGGGATGGAACATTCTGCTCTCCACCTAGTGGCAGGAAGGCTCCTGAGGTAGGGCCCGGACAGGGAGGCACCGCAGGCGTGGGGCACTGGGAAGGGGTTCCAAAGAGGGTTGGAGCTGGGGGTCTCCGGACTCAGAAGGCGAGGTGCAGAGACATCCCTGGGAGCTAGTGGACCCAGCAAGCACCCCCAGCCCCTCCATTTTCTGCCTGTGTCCCTTTCTGGGCTGGGACCCAGATGCCCCCCGTCTTTGGCAGGCAGGATCTTAAGAGAGCCCCACCCCTGCCCAGTCTGCCGCCAAGCCCTCTGCGGCCACCTCTTCTGCCAGTTCTGAGAAGGCACGCGAAAGGGGCACGCCCCTGGGGAGGGGCACCTGTGGATGGGCCCATAAAGAGGGGACGGTCTAAGTCGGCAGCCACAGGGCCACTTGCTTCCCCCGTCCCTCCTGGGATGGGGCCTTGTTGTGCCCTATGGGCAGTGCTCACCCTGCTGAAAGGCCTGAAGGGCCAGACCTCAAACACCCAGCCAGGCGTTCCCTCCGTGTTACGGAGCTTCCAGGAAGACCAGGTCTGGGGGCTTGAAGGGAGGGGGAGAAAGTCAGCCGTGTGCAGGGAGCAAGGAGGGCCATGGTGGCCGGGGAAGGCACCGTCCCGGGAGCCCAGCCTGGCCTCAGATCCCCCCACAGAGATTCCTGACGTCCAACAGAAAAGGTCCCCGGACAGCTGGACAGGCCTTCCTGGGCCAGCTGTTCCCTCCTGCAACCCCGGCCAGTGCCTGTGCGGTGGGAACATCTCCATCAAGGCCTGCAAATGCTAGGCGCTGGGCGAGTTCACCCCAGCCCTGCCGGCATCATTGGTGCTCAGATGGGGAGCCACTGCCTGGTGAGGGCCCCTGGGCTGTCCTGGGCTCTGCCTACCTCAGGTTCCCACAGTTCCAGGGGGAATGGTTTGTGGTTGGCCTGGCGGGCAGCACCCACAGGAAGATGGACAGGTTCCTGCTGACCCCATTCACTGCAGTGTTCGAGCAAAATAAGAACAGCCACCTTGAAGTGTCATATGCCATGACCCGGTGAGTGAGGATCCCTGGCCTGTACCCCTGGAACCTAATGGCTTCATGGCTCGAGGCCAGCATGGGCCCCAGTGCCCTGGTTCAGCACAGGTTGCCAGTGACCTAAGCCAGCTCTGGGGCACACACAAAAGAGGGGTGCGTTTACTGGATCACAGACTCAGAAGAGCCTCGCAGGCTTATGGAGTTCAGGTACAGCTGGATCCAGGAATTCAAACAGTGTGATCCGGGCCCCTTCAACCCCTACCTCTCTCTCTCTCAGCTCTGTCTATCCCAGAGCTCTGTTTGGGAAAGTTCTCACCTCGCAGGGATAAAACATTAGCCTGGGCTGATGTCCCTCTCAGGGCTCCCAATTCCAGAAAAGAGAGAGCGTCCTGGTCAGCCTGGCAATGGCCTCTGACCAGGTTTTCTGGAGTCACATGATCCTCCTGAACCCGTTGCTGCATCCAGGGTGACAGGTGCTCTGGCTGGTCTGCCCGAAAGAAGTGCCTCCCCCTGGTTGGGAAGTCTTGACGGAGTCTTGCAGGAGTCTTGACGGATGGCCCCTGGGGATGAGGTGAGGGTGGTGCCGTCCCCTTAGGGGGACACCGGTGCCATGAGGGCTTCTTTACCCTCACCACGTCTTCAGCAGGCCTGGCAGGCTTCCTTGCCCACCTGCCTGGCTACAGGGGAGAGAGGGCCTGGGAACCTCTCTGGTTAGGGCTCTTTGGGTCTGAGTAATATGAAACAGGGACCGTAGGCGAGGCGGGTCTGCCATGCCAACCAAGGTAGGTCCTAGAGCTGAGAGCCTTCTCTGAGGGTCTCCCTTGGCCCCTGCCCCAGCCTGCCCGCTGCATGGGCTCAGCCACCCCAGACCCCCCACTGTAGCATCTCAGATTCCTGGGGGCGCCTGACTGGCCTAGCTCCTGTCAGAAGTTGATTAGAGGGGAGGAGTGGGGAACAGAGAACCCAGTGCAAATGCAGTTGGACCGAGAAGGCTTTGGGGCAACCTCCCCTCTCCCCGACCTGCAGGCCGGACTGTACTTGGTTGCTTCTCAAAACAGGTGTGTCCACCTGGAGAGGCCCCTGCACTGCGGGAGGGCCTCCTGGGGCCTGAGCTGGGGGGCCTACCCGGCCGGCCCAGCTTCTCCCCATCTGGCCTGGCTCAGCGAAGTCTGGGCTAGGGGCGCCAGCCACGATGCTCACTCAGGACTCCCGGAGGGACCCGCAACCAGAAACACCTTTCTGTCGCCATCGCACATACACATGCATTAGGGGTCCCAGCCAGGCTGAGAAGGAGCGGCCAGTGGGTGGGCGGGCAGAGGCTCCAAGGGGATGTGTGAGGGCGAGGGAGAGCCCACACCTCGTCCTCCAGGAGGGACAACCTCCCTGGGGAGGGCAGCAAAGCTTCGTGTGGGGCCTCGCCCATGGCTTCCGACAGACGTCTCCTCCAAGTGAGCAGCTGAGATCTGGCAGGGACTGGCTTCGGGGCCCTCCCCTGAGGGAGAGAAGGAAACCAGAGGTCTGGCCAGGTTCCAGAACCTTCCTCTTGTGTTCTCCCCTGCTCCCGCAGGGGCCACCGCTGTGTCTCCTGGTCGTACGTGCTGATTCCGGCGGCAAAGCCTGGGGGATTCTCGGTGGAGAGCAGGGAGGGTGAGAGGGTGACCGCGGGAGGCAGGGGGGTTGGCCTGGGGAGGGTGCCTGGGCAGGAAAGGGCCTCATACTGCGGCATTACCTCCCCTGTGTCCCGGCAGAGCCCGAGGAGGTCCAGGTGTACGACACTGACTACAGCGTGTTCGCTCTGATGCTGTTCAGAAGACAGTCCAGCGGCCAGAGCGTCGTCAGGGTCAACCTGCTATGTGAGACCCCGCCCAGCGGCCGAGGTCCAGCTGGTGGGGGTGGGGGGGAGAGAAGGGAGGGCAGGGGGAGGAGGGAGGGTGGGGAGGGGTGGAGTGCGGGGGTCCGGCACTGCCAGTGCAACAGCCATGGCTGAAGGCCGTGCTGCTCCCCCCGGCCCCAGGCAGGATGTGGACGGTCCAGACCATGGTGCTGGACAAATTTGTCTGCCTGCTGCAAGCGTTGGGCCTGTCGGACGACAACGTCGTCTTCCCAGACCTGACAGGTAACGGGCCCTCGGGCAGCCGCAGGGGTCGGCACCTGGCACAGGCCCGCACCCGGCATGGGCCCGCCCATGGCCCTCGAGAGCCCTACGGGAGCCCATGGGGGAGTGTGGCCTGCGCGCAGGGTCTACCTGCGGGGTCCTGGCCACCCCAGAGGGCTCAGCCTGAGCTCAAAGGGGTTTCTCACAACTCCTTGGTCTCTGCCCCCACCCGGGGTCCCCCTGTCCCGGGTCGCCCCCCGCCCCTGCCCGGGGTCCCGCATCCCGGGCCCCATCCTCTCATTCCAGGAGCATTTCCCACGTCTGGCCCTTCCCACGTGTGTGACCACATGTAAAGCACAGGCACGCAGGCAGACACACGGTGCTGACGCGGGCACACGCCCCTGCTTACACACGCGTGCACGCACGTGTGCACACACAGGGACACAGCGTTCACAAGCACGAGCCTGGGAGGGCCCCGCCGCACCTCTGCAGCGAGCCTGGGGGCTGGGGGCAGGGTGGCACCCTGGAGGGTATGTCCCTCTGTCCCTGGCCAGCCTCCCGCCCCAGCGCCTTCTTCCGGGCAGCTGCAGGCCCCCTCCCGTCCTAGGCCCTAGCTCCTCTCCCCTCCCCGGAGCTGCGGGCCCTCATGCCTCCTCCAGCTCTGTCCCGGCTCTGCTCCGCCTGCATCTGAGCCTCTGTCTCCCCCGTCAGACTGGTCACCCCAGCCGGGGACGTGCTGAAGTTGGACGCGGCTCCTCCCCGGCAAGGCCTCTCCCCTGCTCGCAGCGTGGAATAAAGGCTCTGTGTCGGGGTCCAGCCGTGTGAGCCACCGTGACCTTGGGTTGGGGGGGGGAGTGCGAGTAGGGGAGGGCCCTCCGAGCGCACTCATGCCCACCCCTGCCCGCCAGGCCTTCGGCAACCTCCAGTCTCCTCAGGAGTGCGTCTTCGCCGGTCACTGCGGGTCCCTGCGGGTCCCCTCCGTCCTGCCCGTGTGGCCCCCAGCGACACGAGTTCACAGACCCCTCCACCTCCCCAGTCCCCAGAGCCCTGGAGCTGCCATGAGGGGTGCAGCGGGGGCCCCGGAAGAGAAGCAGTCTAGACACAGGTGCCTCGGCCTGGAGGGCGGGGGAGGGCTGGGCAGAGAGGTTTGGCTTCCTGTTGGGGGGCCGGCCGGACCCCCACGGGGTGTAGGGATCCTTCAGGTTCAGAGAGCCCCAACCCAGGACCCCAACCGTCTGTGCACACCTGAGAGGCAGCTGCCCTGTCCCAGACAGGACCAGTCTCCACCCCGCCCCCGCCCCACCATCCTGGCCCCATGGAGCTCCAAGCAGAGGGCAGCAGGCCAGTCCCAGGGCCTGCGGGGAAGCTGATCCCACCAGAGATCAAAGAACACGGGGACCTCTCACTCCGTGCCAGATCGCATTTCTTTGGCCTGAGTGCCCCCCTCCCCACCCCGGTCTGGCCCTGTTCCTCCCTCAGGGCAGAGTCAGCAGAAGGGGATAAAGGCAGGTGGGCTGGCCCTGCCCTGGGCCAGTCTTTGTCCCTCTGGCGGCCACCTGGCCTGTCAGCTTCAGCCCTGGGTGGCAGGAGGGGCCCTTCCCCAAAGACTCCCCAGAGTCTGGGTCACGCCTTCCTCCCAGCCTTTTCCGCTGAGGCCGCACAAAGCCCTGTACTGTGACAATGACTCCCATGAGCCGCCTAGGGCTCCCCCGGTCCTGGGAGCACAGAGCTGCCTCCCAGAGGAGCGCTCCAGGCCCCAGATGGGGGTACGCTGCGGCCACGCAGGGCCCCGGAGATCTGGGATGGGGGGAAGCCAGCTGCCCCAGCGTCCTGATGGAGAGGCCTCCTTTGGCCCTTCTCCGGCCATAGCCCTTCCTGCTGGTGTCCCCGCAACCCACGGCGCTCCGTCCCTGGGCCCACAGGCAGGTGTCCCACCGAGCCCACCTGCCGGCGGAGAGCTGGCCAGGGATGGCTGGGGCAGACAGGGCCGGGAGCTCAGGCCTGAGAGGAGGGGCCAGGGCTGGGCAGAGGGGAATGGGCAGGGGCTACAGCCAGGGAAACAGAGACCCCTGCCTGCAACCCTAGTCTTCAGTTCCTGCGGAAGGACAGAAGGTGCTTGTGGACTAGTCCGAAGGGCAGGTCGTCATTTTGAGTGACTCAGGACCCCTGGGCTCTTCTCTCAGCCCTGGCCCTGCCTGGGGGCCTGGGTCCCTGGGGTGTCCCCATTCCTCAGTGACACACAGGACTTAGGACCCTGAAGGATGCTGCGACCACCCCCGGCCCTTGTCCCAGCCCTGTCACTGGAGAACAGGTGTCCCCCTCCCCACTCCTGAGGGGCTGTGGTGTGGGTCCCAGCAGGCCCCATGGCCGAACGTGGCTCTCTACAGGGTCAGTGCAGCTGCGGGCTGAGTGTTGTCCCAGCTGCCCAGGACACCCCCTCGACGGCCCCTGGCTCCACAGCTTCTCTGTGAGTTGGTGAGAGCAGGTGTGCTGTCCAGCGGGACGTCCATCCCCACGTTCTGGGCGGCACGAGTACCGGCCTGTCCCTAGGAGTGGTCAGTGCGGTGGGAACCTCCCCATTCTGGCCTAGACAGGCAGAAACCCTGTAAAGTGGGAAAGGCTTGGACCCTGGGGCCAAGGACACAGCTGGGTCCAGCTGCCCCAGGCTCCCAGGCTCCTCAGGTCCCCAGGCAGGGGCTGCTCGGTGCCGGCACCTGACACCAGGGGACCACCGCCAAGTTCATGCTCCTGCTTGTGTCCCAGTCCCCTGGGGAGGCTCGATCTGCCATTTCTCTCAGCCAAGCCCTGCCAGCAGGTCCGCAGGTGCTGCTGCCATGGGACAGGCAGGGCAGGCGTGGGGGAGGGCCACGGATTGTGTCCCCGGTCCCCGAAGTGGGGCCAGGGGGACATCCTCGAGCCCAGCCTGAGCCACATGCGGTGTTTGAGGGGACTCTGGGTCTGGGACCCCGTGGGCCCACATCACTCTGCTTGTGTCCCAGCTGCTATGGTCTTGAGGGCGGCGAGGTGGATGGGACAGGACTGTATCTGGATGGACTGAGAAACCGGCCCGCTGCCGGGGAGCCCTCCCCACCCTCTAGGGCTCCCTTCCAGGGAGAGCGGCCCCCCGGGAGGGACGGCCAGCAAGGCCAAGCGACCCTTTGGGGCCCCACGTCTGCACCTGAGCCTGCTGGGGGCTTGACCGTCATGGTGGGGACCCGCCAGGGCAGCAGGAGCAGAAGGGACATTTGGACAGCTCCGGGAGAGGGCGGGTGTGGACTCCGGCCACCGTGGGACCAGCCTGGGTGCGGAGAGGCCGGGAACCCGCGGGGCCGCCAGACGGCACGCTGGGTCCCCTTGTCTGAAGACAGGTGCTGTCGCCCCATCTGTTGGACTCATTTCTTTATGACATCATTTTCTCACTTTGTTGGGTTTTTTAAACCCTCTTTAAGTACCCACTTCTGAGGCATCAGAGCGCTCACCCTTGTGCAGCCGTCCTCCCGGTCCGTCCCCAGAGCTCATCCATCTTCCCAGGCTGGACTCTGTCCCCGTAAACCCTGCGCCCGGCGCCCCCGCCGCACGTCTGTGTCCGACTCCTCCGGCCTCCAGGGCGTCTCCACTCACGACACACAACCGGTCCGTCCGTGCCGGGCCGACTGCACGCGGCACCGCGTCCTCCAGCTCCGCCCACGTGGCCGCGGTGCCGGGATCCCCTCTTTAAGGGGGAGTCAGGGTCCGAGGTGTGGCCGGGCCGCGTCCTGCTCACCCGTGGGCCTGTCGATAGCCGCTCGGGCCGCTCCCGTCCCTCGGCTCTTGTGAACACGAGAGTTCAGATCCCCCTTCAAGACCTTGGTTTTAGAGAGGACAGAGGCAGAGACAGAGGCGGAGGGAGAGTGTTAAGCCGACACCACGCTCCGCGCAGAGCCCGGCTCCGTCCCACGACCCCGAGATCCCGTCCTGAGCCGAAACACAGAGTCGGACACTTAACCGCCGGAGCCCCCCATGTGCCCCTGCTGCCCTCCGAGATTTTGTTCTATTTCTGTCCTGTGTTTTAATTCTCTGTTTTCTGCCTGCAAGACATGTTGAGGGTGACGCAGACCACGGTCCCCAGAGCCTGTGGCGCCCGCGTGTGGCCCTGCTCTGCCGTCCCTCCTGCTCAGTCCTGCCCCGTGTCTATGTTTCACTGCACACGTGCTGGTGACTCATTGCTTCGGGTTTTGTCTGAAAAGTCCTTATTGAGACCTTATTTCTAAAATACGAACTGAGGGGGCACCTGGGGGCTCCTTCGGTGCAGCGTCTGCCTTCAGCTCAGGTCGCAGTCTTGGGGTCCCAGGATCGAGCCCCCGGTTCGGTTCGGACTCCCTGCTCGGCGGGGGGTCTGCCTCTCCCGCGGGCCCTCCCCCCAGCTTGTGCTCTCGCTCTCTTTCTCTCTCAAGTAAATAAATAATCTCCACAAAAACAAAAATGAAATCTGGGCTCAGATCTGAAGTCACGGGGACGGACACAACTCCGCTGGCTGCTCTGATGAGTCGGGACCATGCGGACACCTGTGTAAACACAGCTCGGCCCGATGCAGAACATTCCAGCATCCCAGAGAGCTCCTGGGCAACCACGTGCAACCAGCCCTCTCCACCCTCTGCCCGGCAGCCACAGGTCGAATTCCATCTCCGAGGAGGAGTTTGGCCTGATGTGGGATTGCACAGCACGCGGTCTCTCGTGTCCCTTACAGGCCCGGGGCCACCTACCCCAGGTCACTCCCAGGTCAGGCGACGGCCGAGGGCACTTCTTGTTTTTTCAGCAGGCCCAGCATGGAGCCTAACACAGGACCTGGACTCATGACCCTGAGATCAAGACCTGAGCTGAGATCAAAGTCAGGACTCAAGTGACTGAGCCCCCCAGGAGCCCCCATTCAGGTCCTGACGCGCCCGCCCTGCTCGCAGGTTCTGTGGGAGGAGAAAGCCGAGAGAGGCCAGGATGGGGCGCTGGGGGCTCCGTGGGCTGAGGGCCTGACTGTTGGCTTTAGCGCGGGGCACGATCTCAGGGTGGTGGGGTCGAGCCCTGTGTTGGGATCCGGGCTCAGCGGGGCGTCAGCCTCGCCCTCTGCTCCTGCCTCCCGGCTCGGGTCTCCCTCTCTCTTCTCAGACTAACAAGTATAAATCCTTTAAAAAAAGGGGGTGGCCTATAAGGAAAACCCTAAAGGAAGTGCTTCAGGGCTGAATCAAGGGCCCAGACCGAGGCCGGAGTCCCAGCGGGCTGGACGCACGGCCGGCCGCGAGCAGGCGGGTCACCTGAGGCTCAGCCTTGGCTGCGAAGAACAGCCACAGCGTGAGGGGACTGAGTGTGTCGATTCTAGACCAGACGAAGACGGCGTCACTGGGGGGGACGGAAAGGCGTCCACACGACTTCGTCAAATTGAAGCTGCAATAGTGGCCACAGCCGCTAAAATACGCACGTGCATCTACACGCACACGCGCACACGCGCACCCCCACATGCCCGACGTTAATAGAAGCGAAATAATGAATTGACGAAAACCAAAAGAGGCGTCAAGAAGGTGAGAACCGGGCGCCCGGGGCTCAGTGGGTGAAGCGCCTGCCTTCGGCTCAGGTCATGATCCAGCCCCGCATGGGGCTCCCTGCTCTGCGGGAGGCCTGCTTCTCCCTCTCCCGCTCTCCCTGCTCGTGTTCCGTCTCTCGCTGTCTCTCTCTGTCAAATAAATAAATAAAATCTTAAAAAAAAAAAAAGAAATCCCGGGTTATTTCATAATAAAGTAGGTTGAACCCATCAAGAACATACGAGAATTCTGAATTCGTGGGCGACAATAACAGGGCCGCAGAGTAACCACAGCAGAAACGGAAGCACGAGGAGGGAGACAGCGCGGCCGTCGCTGCCGGAGAGGCCCACACGCCTCCCTTAGTAAACAGCAGTCGGCTCGGGGGGCCCAGAGTGCGGGCGGGCACGGGGGCCTGGGCCCAGCCACAGGGCAAGGCTCGGGGGTCATCACGGAGCAGAGAGCTTGGGAGCCGGGCAGCAGGAATAGGACATTTTCAGGTCCCTCAGGGGTGGGGGCCCTGTGGAGGGAAGACCAGGCTGGGCTCGTCCCAGAACACTGGCCCAGGACAGGGCGGCCATGGGCCCTGGGAGAGTTGCTGGCTGGGCCGTGCAGCTGGCCCCTGCTCTGGGCCCTGTGCCTGCTGGGGCAAGTCTCTTTATCCTGCCCAGGAGCCCTGGTATCATCTGGGCCTGCTGTGCCTGGAACAGCCCCCCAGGGTCTTCCAGAGCAACCCTGTCTGTTTCCTGGAGGAGGAAGGGAGGGAGCAGGTAGACGGGGGTCCGTGTACAGTGTAGGGGTCCGCGTGGGCAGCCTGGGGGACCACACCTGTGGGTGCAGAGCTGGCTGGAGCCCTTCCCACCCCGCTCCTGCCTGCACCCGTGTCTAGGCCCTGAGGTCTTGTGCCCGCTCTCGGCCCTGCACCCCCCACACTGTGAGTGACTTGGGCCTGGTTGCTGATTCCCCGCGTGTCCCCTCATGGGCGCCCCCGTGCGCGTGCACACATAGTGTAGGAGATGCTACCCCACACGGGATTGTGAGTGTTGCCTGGGGCCACCCTGTCTGGGTGCAGTGGTGGGGGGGGGAAGCAGGACTTTGGGAGAAACGCCTTTGTTCTTCCTGGGGTGTGGGGAAGGATGGGGACCTCCTTCCTGGGTGTCCACGTTTCTGTGTGTCTGGGACACCTCTGTTGGGAAGAGAAGGGGGTGCAGCTTGGGTGTGGGGTGCTCTGTGAGGGGGCAAGTTCCCAGGAACAGGGGCTGGAGGAGGCTTCCAGGACCAAGCTGCCCCCTCCATGGGGCCCTCCAACAGGCAGTGGGGCCGAAGCGGTTAGAGCCCAGCACGGAGCAGAAATTTGGTGCTGGCAGGCCACACGCCCCCAGCTCGCCCCCACATGAGCTGACTGGGAGCTGTGGGAAGGCACAGACCCTGGCAGTGTGTGGAGTCTCGCCAGCCCTCCCTGCCCAGCACCCAGAGCACCCAGCGTGATCACACCCCTTTCTTCCTCACGACCAGGCTCACCGGAGAAGGCTTTTGAAGTCAGGGTGCCCGCGGCCAGAGCTCTGTCTGCACCGTCCCAGGGCTGGGTGCCAACGTGTCCAGCATCACCCACTCCCCACGGTCTCCTGGAAGACCCAGGGGTCTTCTCCAGGCGGCCATCTGGAGACCACTTCTGATGTCCCCCGGCAGACTGGAAATGGGAGTGGGGCTTGGGGAAGGGAAGCTGTTGGTTCTGCCACCATGGGACCATCCTGGGGACAGACAGGCCTGGGCACTGTGACCCGAGGAACATAAGGGGGGCTCCGACTGCACACCCCCCTTCCCTGGTGAGCTAACTAAGGTTCCTAGGCTATGGGGGGGCACTGAAACACTGTCTCTACCACATGTAGGCACACGAGCACACATGGGCACACATGTGTACACATGCAACACATGTATACACGTTACACGGGTGCATGTGCACACGGATACGCCCATGCATACACAGGCACGCACATGCACACAGAGTTGCACAGGCACACATGCACACAGGGCACCCACGTGCACACAGGCACACACACAGAGACCCACAAGCACACGCGGGCACACACGGGCACACACACACAGAGACCCACAAGCACACGCGGGCACACACGGGCACACACGCACAGAGACCCACAAGCACACGCGGGCACACGCACAGAGACCCACAAGCACACGCGGGCACACGCGGGCACACACGCACAGAGACCCACAAGCACACGCGGGCACACACGGGCACACACGCACAGGTGCACACTCCATCCCTCTGTTCTGAAACGTCTCTTCTGTGTCTCCTCTGAAAGCTCTCCCCGTGGGACGCACAGCCTGTGTCAAACAGGAACGCTCCGGCAGGAAGCTGTTTTGTTTTGAAGGAAGTTATTTTATTTCTCGGGTTTGTGTGGGTTAACTGGGAGTTGGGGTTTTTCCGCTCTCTCAGCTGCCGGCCCTCTGAGACCCTGGGCAGCGACGTCCCTGGAGCATGTGTGCACGTCAGCAGGGTTCCCCGGCTCTGTCCCCACTGGGGAGGGCCATAAGCTGCTCCTGGGGCTGGTGGCTGGGGAACTGGGGGGAGGCCTGGGGCTGTCCCTGGGAGCGGACTCCACTCCTGGGGTTCAGGGTGGAGGATGCTGCG